TACAGGCGTGAGCCACTGCACCAGCCAGGAATACTTTTCTATGCTAAAAACTTTGCCTCAGAAAACAAAACAAAAAAGACTCTTTTAAATAACTTGAGGTCCTGTCAATTCTTTATAAAGTTTATAATGACTTTTTTTGGTGTCTACTATCAACTTGCCTCATTGCCCCAAGGAGGTGCACTGGAGCCAGGAACCCTGACCTCTCATTGCAGGTCTTAACTTGCCCCATAGTTCCTGAAGTAGAGTGTGGTGGAAAAAGCACTGGTCCAGGGGTCAGGACACTTGGGACCTTGTCTTAAGCTGGCCTGCTTTTAGGAGAGTGCGTTTAGGCTAATCACTTCCCTGCAAATGAGGCTTTGTAGACCTAGTTCCTTTCAGCAGGTGCAATCTTTCCTACCAGTACTTTTCCTAAAGAAGCCATGTAATTTAGCAGCAAGGAAAAGTTGTCCACAGGTCTACCTGCTGAACAAATTCCACACTACCTGGGCAACTTACAGTCCTGAATGGCTGTTGGTATTGTGATTTTAAAATGGATTAATGGAAAACTTTGCTGAGACCAGGAATTTTATCCTGTGTCATGTATGAAAACAAAGTATTTTCCCCCACACTGAAATACCTACTAATATAGATGTATCTATAAAAGATGATTTTTAAAACTCCAACCACCATACTATTTCATACCTAAATCATCAAACCAGTGTTAAATTTCCTTAATAGTATTTTACTTTTTTTTCTTTCTGAGATGGAGTCTCGCTCTGTTGCCCAGGCTGGAGTGCAGTGGTACGGTCTGGGCTCACTGCAGCTTCTGCCTCCCGGGTTCAAGTGATTCTCCTGCCTCATCCTCCTGAGTAGCTGGGACTACAGGTGCACACCACCACACCTGGCTAATTTTTGTATTTTTAGTAGAGATGTGGTTTCACCATGTTAGCCAGGCAAGTCTCAAACTCCTAACCTCAGGTGATCCACCCACCTTGGCCTCCCAAGATGCTGGGATTACAGGCGTGAGCCACCACATCTGGCCTAATTTTACATTTTTTTGAATCATTAACCAAATAGGGTCCAAATATTGTGTTATGTGTCTTCTAAGTTCCCACTCCATCTCTGTTTCCCTTGTAATTTATTGAAGAAACTAGGTCATTTGTCTTGGAATTTCCTCTCAATATGGCTGACTGAAATCCCACTATATTTTTAAATCATGTTTCTATATTCTCTTATTTCCTATAAAATGATAGTTATATCTAGAGAGTTGATTAGACTTGATGTTTGGGCAATACTTCACATAGGATGTTAGTGTTTTACAAAGTAATTGAGAAGACTTCACATGTTCAGGTCTTTATAAAATAATAAAAATTAGATTTTATCACATTTATTAAAGACAATCATTTATAGTTTATAAAAAAATACTGCCCTGATATACACAAAATTTTCTTGATAATGCTAATTAAAAGCTACCCCCACCCCTCCATGTCCACACCAATATTCAATCTAGATTGGTTTAATCTTGAAGTGTAATCCAATAAGACTGAAGACCAAACACTTCAGGTCCTGGACAAGATAATAAAATACTCGTAAGCCTTCTGGATCCCTAAAATGCAAAAGGAAAAAAAAAGTTTAAAACATTGAGGTAAAATGGGCAAAAAGATACCATTTAATAATCTCAATTATTTCTCTATCAAGATGTTCCTTGTAAAGATATTTAGGGCATTAAAACTTTGACCAAAAAAGGAAAAGACTATATATTAAAATGGTATATTATGAAGTAATAGGGAAATGCTTACCTTAAGTGAAAAAAATTAACAGTTATCGATCTCGACTATATTTTTTATGCTTCTTAAAAGTATATATTCTATTAATGCACAGAAAAAAAGACTAAAAAGAAATACTGCAAGATATTAATAAATGTTGTCTGATAAGATAATTGATGATTTTCCCCTTTCTACTTTTCTACATTTCCTGTATTTTCTACAATGAGCATGTATTACTTGAAGAGTTAGGAAAACTTTTTTAAAAAATAGTTGTACTAAGCAGGACCAAGAGGATGAAGATTACTGTGGCATCACTAGCTAAGAACAAAGAGTATTCAAAGGAAAGAACAAGGAGAGTGTCCAAAGGAAGACAATTATACCCAACATTTGCTAAAAATGAGCCATATCTAATCCTGAATCCTCAAAACATAAGAGCCAAAGAAGTTGCCAAATTTTATCTAAAGATTCTTTGTAGCACATAGGTTCATGCCTCAACTTAATAATCTGCCCCACTGACAACATGAATTTTAAAATTTGATCCATTTTCACCAAACCCTTTTCACCAAAATTATTTGTAAAAATTAATAAAGTTAAAATCAAATAAAATTTAGATCCTAAAAATTGTCAAGTTTCATCAAAGTCAGATTTTAAGATGTGCCAGTCTGAACAGTCACACTGAGAAGGCTGCTCAGACTTGGTGACTCTACGGTTTATCATGAGCACTTTTCTGGCATATTCCATTTTTGTCCTGGCTGCTCCTATGCATTAATCTGTATGTGTGGGTCAACAAGAAGCTCTCAGTAGCAATGACTGAATGAAATACCAAAAGTAATAGGAGCAAGTCTTCAAAAATAATTTGAGATCCCTCCCTAACAAGGAGGACAAAGCTGCCCACCTGTATTTTGCATTTGTTCCAGATCTTCCCATAGTGATCCCAATTTGGTTAAGAGCGTCTTATCAATCTGCTCCAAAACAGACACAACTGGATATAAGGATAATGCACACTTACTTGGATTGATTGACATCAATAAGGGAACCAATTTTTGATGTTGTAAAAGAAATGTGTTCATCTCCAATAACGATTTCAAGCTCCTAGAAACATTTTAGAAAATCTAAGTCAAGTAAAATTGGATGCTTCATCAAGCATACAGAAGGATTAATCATTTGCCAAATCACACAAACTTGACTACAGATGGCCATAAAAACAAGGGCAGTTCACTCTGAACACTAAACTGTGCTGGGGACTAGAAACAAGACATAAATAAAGCTCATATTTAGAAGAAATTGTACCCTCAAGGCTCTACTATTTCTGCGATTTGAAAAAAATCTATTAAGTTTTTTTTTTTTTAAATTTTCCTGAGATGGAGTCTTGTTCTCTCGCCCAGGCTGAAGCGCAGTGGCATGATCATGGGTCACTGCAACCTCTGCTTCCAGGGTTCAAGTGATTCTCCTGCCTCAGCCTCCCACGTGGCTGGGACTACAGGTGCCCGCCACCACGCCTGGCTAAATTTTTTGTATTTTTAATAGAGACAGGGTTTCGCCATATTGGCCAGGCTGATCTTGAACTCCTGACCTCAGGTGATCTGCCTGCCTCAGCCTCCCAACTGCTGGGATTACAGGCAAGAGACACTACACCCGGCCTATGTATTATTTTGTCCAAGTTTTCATTGTCAACAATGTGGAGTAAAATGGACACATCTATGTTTTAAAAGTACCAAACAATTGGACTGGGTGTGGTGGCTCACACCTGTAATCCCAATTGTAGGAGGCCAATGCAGAAGAATCACATGAGCCCAAGAGTTTAAGACCAGTATGGGCAACTTGGCAAAACCTCATCTCTACAAAAAATATAAAAATTAGCTGGGTGTGGTGGCATGCACCCATGGTCCCTGCTACTAGAGAGGCTGAGGTGGAAGGGTCCCTTCAGCCCAGGAGGTCAAGGCAGCAGTTGGCCATGATCTCATCACTGTACCCCAGCCTAGGCAACAGAGTGAGACCCTGTCTCCAACAACAACAAACAAAAACAAGAACCAGAGGATCTAACCTATCGAGGCAACATAGGAAAAGGAAGTATTCCAGACCTTAGGTTTGATCCCCACTTGGTTACTCCGTATCTGTATGACTTTGGGTCTCAATTTCTAAACACTGACATGAGTACCATAAACCTTCAAAAAATATTATGTAGAGCCTACTGGGTCCTATTCAGCGCTTAGGACAGATAAGTAAAACCAACCAAACCAAAGATCTCTGCCCTGTGGAACTTAATAGTCTTGTGAGCCCTACTTACTTTTTCTTCTTTTTGATTTATATATATTTTGGTTATAATTCAATCAGAAAATAGAAAAAAACTGAGATCAATGTTTCCAATACCTAGATTTATAAATTACTGCCATACATGTGTCAGCTTTTTTTTTTTTAAAGAAATAAAATATTACAAAGTTGATATCCATCTCCCATTGTGTTCTCCTTCCCGTATCACCTGATTTGTTCCACTCATTTCAGATTTGGTAGTATGTTTTTACTGATTTGTTTTTACATACACGGTCTCACTTTGTCACCAAAGCTGAAGTGCAGTGGTAGGATCATATGTAACCCTGAGGCTCACTGTAACCCAGGGGCTCAAGCTGTCCTGCAGCCTTAGCCTCCCAAATAGCTAGGACTACAGGTACGCGCCACCACACCTGGTTAATTTTTAGGGTTTTGGTAGAAAAAAGATCTCACTGTGTTGCTCTATTTCTGTTTGTATCTCCACGATGCTTTGTCCACAGTAGTTAGTGAGACAGGCAGCAAAAGCTTTAAGTGAAGGAGTGGGTGTGGGGGGTCCTGAGAAGAAATTCAAGGTGGGTTCTTGGTGGCCAGCAGCACCACTTGTTCTGTCTGTTCCTTCCTATGGGATTAGTGCTTCCTTAGACCACGGTGCTGGCAATCTGCTTTCTGCAGGGCTGACTACCACACACACCCACACACACACGGTTTCACTATCATATGCAAAGCACAAACGTCAGCTTACTTGTAAGATTTCTGCACTACAGGATAATCAATAAAACACACACACACACACACACACACAGTTTCACTATCATATGCAGAGCAATAAGCCTCATCTTATTTGTAAGATTTCTGCACTACAGGATAATCAATAAAACATACCTGCCGGCCCACTCGGTCAGGAGGAGGCCACAGCGCATCATCCTCTTTGGTAATTTCACTGTCATCAATTATTCTCTTCAGTTCCTCCATCACGCTTTTATGTACATAAGCCTGAAAGCAAGTTAAAAGACAAAATGTATGTTGTGTCCTTAAGCAGTGCTTTGACTCAGATAGTGATGGAAGATAAAAATAACTGATCCTGCAGACTTATTTCTGGCATCTCCTGAAGTGGGAAGACATTTACTCTCAACCTCAGCATGGTGCAGGTGAGGGACAGGGTCAAAAGTATCAAATAGCTGTACCTCAGTCCCCCATCTAGCTGGTACTACTCCTGGTACATCCTGTTCACATGGCCCTTCTCCCTGCCCACATAGCCAAATAACAACAGAACCCAAAACAGATCCGTGAATGCCCCCTACTGTGGTTTAAATGTTTGTCTCTCCTACAAAATTCATGTTGAAATTAATCCCCAAGGCAACAGTGTTAAGGGATAGGGCCTTTAGGAGGTGATCATGCCTTGAGGGCAGAGCCCTCAAGGGCAGGAATAGTGCCTTAGGAGAGACCTGAAGGGAACTAGCTGGCCCCTTTCCTGTTCTTTCACCACATGAGGATACAGCATTCATCCCTTCTGGGGGATGCAAAAACAAGGCACAATTGTGGAAGCAGAGACTTGGATCTCACCAGACACTGAACCTGCCAGCACCTTGATCTTGGACTTTCCAGCCTCCAAAACTATGAGAAATATATTTTACCCAGTCTCAGGTATTTTGTTATAGGAAAACAAGAGACTGAGACATCCACATTCCCCAGTTATTCTTAACTAGGTAATACACTCCTGAGGAACAAAATGCATTTTAAAAGATATGCCTGTGTAAAAAAATGAGGATGTTGACATGCATATAAGCATAAAATCAATAGCTAAAATAACAGTACGAAAACATATGCTAAGACATTTTCAAAGGTGGCAAAGTGGCTAAAAGTAAACAGTAGCTTTGATGAAGCCTTAGCAATGTGGTAGAGATCACAGAACGGAAAATACAAACTTTACTGGGGCAGGGTTGGGAATTCCTGCTGTATCTCTTGCTAGCAGGGGTAACTCTTAACAAGCCTCACAATTAATATCTGGGGTTTTATTTTCTTATAATATCCTCCCCCATCACATGGGCTTATAATTAGAGTTAAATAAGATGCCCTGCCTGATATCCAACATGCACTCAATGATATCAACTGCTTTCCCATGCTCCTTTTCACCTTTGGATGTAAATTAAATAGCTCTCCCTTGAGTACTATGTGCCAGTGAATATACTGAGCACTTTAAGTATAGCCTATTTAATTTTGTGACAGCACTTGGGAGTGGGAGGTAGCTTTTATTATCCCTGCTTTTACAGGTGAAGAAACAGGGACTTATCAAGTTCAGTCAGGAACTTGCCCAACGTCACGTGGGGTAGTAGGCAGCGGACTCAGGGTTCAAACCAAGGTATGTCAGTGGTTACCAGTAGTTGATTCCACATTGTAAAAGAAAAAAATACCAACTAAAAGATGATTTGGGAAATAATCCAGAAGCTGTCTACAGACATGTGTTTTTCTCCCTGTTCTCTACCTTTCAATACTACCAGAAAGAACAAAAAAATGCAAGACAAAAAGCTGAAATGTAGCAAATGAAGGACTCTCAGAGGGCAGAAGGCTCATACCTCTTTTCTGATCATGACATCATTCTTGTAGTTGCTGTTGTTGGCATATCTTAATTTCCCTATGGGGGCAAAAAGCAAATTTCATGTATAATGAAACATATGAATAAAGCATCAATACATACCAAGACTATCAGCAGTTCCCTAAAATGTATCTAACTTGCTCAAAGTGTCTAATAGATTTATTATTTACTCTTATGGTGTATCAATAATACTAGTCTTTTCAGTTCTTCACTTCAGGCTTAAACAGCCAAATATACAGCTGACACTCTACTGTAAAACGCAGCTTGGGTGAGATATAAACACAAGCAGGCTCTTTTCTGACATTGTCAAATCACATTTTTGCAGGTTAATGTCTTGAAAAGAGGCATAGTAACTGATAACTTACCCGCACATAGGACTTCCTGAGGCTCAAATGAGTTGTGAAAACATTTTGAAAACTGTAGGATGCTGTTTACATACATTATCATGTGACTGTGCCACACTCTCTTTCTGTGACGGAAAAGCTGTTGCTTTTATCACTGAGCATATTTGGTACACAAGACCCTTTGTCCATGGGTGCATGTAACAGGTTAATGTGAGTATATGGTGGGGATGAGGGGAAGATAAAAGTAAACAGAAGACATGACTTCTCCTGCTGTAGACTAGAAGACATACATATGAGATGAGCCAAATGAATGTATCCAACAGCCTCTGTGATGTCTGTCTGCCTCAAGTTTCTTCACGTTCAGTTCACTGTCCATACAGTGGACAAGGTGATGTGGTAACAGACCTATCAGATTGGGTTACTCTAATATTTTAATACAGTCAATGGCTTTCCACTGCCTTCCTGGTAAAATCCAAACTCCTCAACATGGCATACAGCTAGGCTGGCCCCTGCCTGCTTTTCTAGCCTCACTCCTGCAATATTCTTCTCTCACGTGGCTGGAGTCAAACTACTTGGTATTCTGCCTGAAACACCCCAAGCACTTTTTGGTTTTCAGCCTCTTTGCATGTTGTCTAAAATGCCTTCTTGACTCTTCTTGGTCTCCTAACCAATTCCTCACATCCCCTCCTCCCACATCACTTTATGTAGGAAGCCTTCTCTGACCCTCCGGCTTGGTTAGGTGCCTCTTCTCTGCTGCAAGCCTCCTCTGTTTCTTTTTATCACAACACCTACTACACTGTTTTGTCACTGTTTGCTTATAAACTGTCTCCCTCACAGTCGGGGCCTGTCAGTTTCATCTTTGTGTCCCACTTAGTGGATGTTTTCTGTTATCTTTGATTCGTCTTTTCTTCACCACAGTGCCTCCCCCAACAAGCTCCTATCAATCAGCAAAGTCCAACTGTTTCTGCCTCCAGCTGTTTCCTAAATCCTCCTCTCCATTTCTACTGTCGCAGTAGTCCCAACAAATAACCTTCTTGTCTTGATAACTGCAACAGTCTCCTCCTAATCAATAGCCCTGTTTCCACTCTTGCCCATTGTGCTCCCAATAACCAGAATGCTTTTTCAAGAACAGATCCCATTTCTTCTCTGTTTAAAACCTTCCAAGTCCGGCTGGGTGCGGTGGCTCACGCCTGCAATCCCAGCACTTTGGGAGGCCAAAGTGGGGGGATCTGAGGTCAGGAGTTTGAGACCAGCCTGGCCAACATGGTGAAACCCCACCTCTAATAAAAATACAAAATTAGCCGGGTGTGGTGGTGGGCGCCTGTAATTCCAGCTACTCGGGAGGCTGAGGCTTAGAATCTGAACCCGGAAGACAGAGGTTGCAGTGAGCCGAGATCGCGCCATTGCACTCCAGACTGGGCAAAAAGAGCAAAACTCCGTCTCAAAACAACAACAACAACCCTTCCAAGTCCAAGTCCAAACAACAACAACAACAAATCTTCCAAGTCCAAACAACAATAAACTTTTCAATTCCAAACCCTTTACCATTGTCTTTAAAGACTTAGAAGGTGTGGCTCCTACCTACCTATTTGACGTCATCTGCTCTCAGCTTACCACTCTTCAACCACACTGACCACTTGAGAGGCATGCCTAGCTCATTCCGCCCTGCAACCTTGACATCTGCCAATCTCTTTGGGTGGAATGGTCTTTCTCCTGAGCTTCACAAGGCTAGGTCCTTGTTGTTCAGTAGGGATCGGCTGCAATATACCCTTTAAAGAGAGCTCTCTAATGGTCAGCCTATTTAAAAGCAGCCCATCCAGCAATTATTCTACCATGTTTTTTTTTTTTTTTAATCACTACTATCTGGAATCATCTTTTTGTTTATGATCTCTCTCCCGGCACTAAAACACAAATTCCATGAGAGGGGAAGTTTGTCTACCTTCGCTGCCGTTTCCCCAAAGAGGGGAACAGAGCCTGGCACACAGCGGGCGTAAGGTCAACATTGGTTAAACGGATTTTAAAAAAACAACCCGTGGAGCAGACACAGGGGCGTTCCTTTCAGATTCGCGCTGCACAGGTCTCAGTCCCTTCCTCCTCTCTTTCCCCACTGATTTCCGACCCTCCGCCTCCCCACTCGCCCGCCCTCCGCCCTGGTCCCCGCTCCCGGCAGGCTACATGCTGCTTTTACCGTCCGGTCGGAACTCGAACTCCAGGAACTCGTGGCCGAACTTGCCCTTGTGCCCCACGTAGTAACGTAGATAAAAGTCACTCTCCATGGCTCGCAAAAGACAACCGAGACAGAACTTCTAACAGAATGCTGCACCACCGCGGTCTGCGCCCTACACTGACGTTTGGGACGGCGCGCGGAAGTGACGTCGACCACGCCGTCGCGTAGTGGAGGAGTTCCTTCTCGCTAACCTCTTGGCCCGGAAGCGGCAACAAGACTGCCACACCAGTAACGAACTTTGTTTAACCCGGAGGCGGGGCTGAGCAGCTCCGCCCCTCCAGCTGGACGCGGGAGCGAGGTTGAGGTTCGACCCCTCAACCCCCTAGGTTGTCTCCAGGCCTGAGGCCGAGAGCCTACCCCCCGCCAACCTCGGGACTTTGAACGATGAGTTCAGATACCTTGCTTAAAGACCTCGGGCCGGCCGGGCGCGGTGGCTCAAGCCTGTAATCCCAGCACTTTGGGAGGCCGAGGCGGGCGGATCACAAGGTCAAGAGATCAAGACCATCCTGGTCAACATGGTGAAACCCCGTCTCTACTAAAGCTACAAAAAATTAGCTGGGCATGGTGGCGCGTGCCTGTAATCCCAGCTACTCAGGAGGCTGAGGCAGGAGAATTGCCTGAACCCAGGAGGCGGAGGTTGCGGTGAGCCGAGATCGCGCCATTGCACTCCAGCCTGGGTAACAAGAGCGAAACTCCGTCTCAAAAAAAAAAAAAGACCTCGGGCCGAACACCCCGAGCCTTGCACCCGCCAGGCTCAACCTCATTTCACAGGACCCCCGACTTGTATGAATCGTACACCGCTCTTTACCGTCTCTGCACCTAGGTCGTCTCGGCAGTAAAATGGGGTAAAATGACCCGAGCTCCCCGGAGGACGCCGCGCACGATGTGTGCCTCAAGTTGGCTTCTTCCACTGACCTGAATGTTAAGAAAGCCGTCCTCTCGGTCTCAAAAAAGAAAGAAAGAAAGTCGTCCTCAGTGACGCTCTCCCTGAATCCACAGTGGAGATTACCGTTTCCCTGGAACTAATTCACTCACGCTTATCCATTACATCGCTTTCCTTTATTTCTATCTTTCTACCCCACTGGTCTCCAGAATAGGTGCTTGAGAAGTTAAAGTGAATATCTGATCTCTCATTCCCCACTCATCCCACTTACTCAGCAGTGATTCTCAGCCTGGCTGCGCATTGCAATCACCTGGGAGCCTCTAAAAATACTGATACCGGGGCCCCAAGCCAATTAAAATATCCAGCGCTGGGCCTGGGAATTGGTAATTTTTGTAAAGCTCCCAGGTGAGTCAGAGTTGAGGCCCACTGACCAAAGGGGCTTGGCTTGCTCTTTTCAGGGTATGAAGCCTTCCTGGCTCTGGAAAAAATGTACAGTTGAGTAGGCCCAGGGCAATCAAGATCATAATTATATAATAGGAGCCTGCTTTCATTCTTCTAAGTTCCAGCTTAGAGAGAACGAATGGTTCTAGAGATAGTGCCTAGATGACATCATTCTTGGGGCCTGGCAACTAGAACTGTGTACGGTTCTGTAAGTCAGGACGGCAGTCTTTGATTCCTGTCCCCAGTCTTACCATTGGGTCCTTTTCTCCCTGAAAAAGCATTAGAAGCAGAGTGTAGAGTAGGTGTGGTGGGGGAAAATCACTGGAGACGGGTTAAAATAATCCCTTGTGTAACAATGACTCATTGTAACCATAGGTGAACTGACTCAACTTTTTAGACTTCAGTTTCCTTCTCTTTAAATAAGCATAATAATGTACACGTAGCAGAACTGTTATAAGAAACAATTTCGAAATCGTTATAAAACCATGAGGCATTTTTATTACAAAACACTGGATATGGGTGTTAACAAGGGAATTGTATAAAAGAGAAGGGGGCTAGACATGGTGGCTCACACCTGTAATCCCAGCACTTTGGGAGGCTAAGGCAGGAGGATCACTTGAGCCCAGGAGTTTGAGATCAGCCTGGGCAACATAGGGAGACCTTGTCTCTACAAAAAATTTAAAAATTAGGTAGGTGTGCTGGTGCACACCTGCAGTCCCAGCTACTTGGGAGGCTGAGGTAGGAGGATCATTTGAGCCTGGGAGGTTGAGGCTACAGAGAACCATGATCACACCACTGCATTCCAGCCTCTCCAGCCTGGGTGACAAAGCAAGACCCTATCAAAAAAAAAAAAAAAAAAAAAAGAAATAAGAGAAAAAGAAAAGGGAACCACCACGTATCAAGTACCTAATAAATGGCTGAATGCGATTACATGTGCTTGTTCTTTCAGTCATCACAACAATCTTGAGGTAGTAATTAGAGTTAAGTAGAGGTGTTAAGCAATTGCTACAAGGTTATTTTCTAAGAGTAAAATTATAAAAATATAAGTGAATCTGGCATCTGCAGATGTGGCAAATAACAAAAGTGTTGAGAAATTTAAAGGACACACAACTCCCATCAGGCTGTAAAGTAATCCAGGTTTTTGGATATGAGACATGGTATAACTGAAAGAGCATGATCTGTGTCTGTGGTGTCTGCATTTGGCATATTTATTGAGCATCTACTGAGTGTCATGTGCAGAGAGGATACAGTGTTGAGCAAGACAGTTCTTTACAGAGTTTGCAGAGGAGGTAGTTAAGAAGCATACAAGCAATTACAGTGTAAGGATAAGATTACCAATAAAGGAAGCACAGGATACTGTGGAAGCACATGAGGTGGCTGCTAATGCAGTGTAGGGTCCTTAGGGAAATGTTCCAGACAGAGGGCTAGAACTGTGTGGTCAAAATATAGTGAGTAATGAGCTGGAGACTGGGCAGAAACCAAATCGTGAAGATCTTTATCAGCCATATTAAAAGAGTTTGGGCAAACCCAAGAATATGGGATTTTGATGGCAGTGAAGCAGTTGAAGGGCTTTAAGCAAGAAAGTGGAATGAAGTGGTGGTGATGTATCTATGGCACTTTAGAAAGACACTTAGGCTGCAGTGTTGTAGGGTGGATTGGAAAATGAAAAGACTAGAAGTATGACATTCAGGTAAGTAGTTAATCTATTAGCCAGGCAAGGTGGCTTATGCTTGTAGTTGCAGTTACTCAGGAGGCTGAGACAGGAGAATTGTTTGAGCCCAGGAGGCGGAGGTTGCAGTGAGCTGAGATCGCGCAATCGCACTCCAGCCTGGGCAACAGAGAGAGACCTTTTCTCAAAAAAAAAAAAAAAAAAAAAAAAAAAAGAAAGAAAAAGAAAGAAAAGAAAAAATAACTAGCTAGGCATTGTGGCATGTGCCTGTAGTCCCAGCTACTCAGGAGGCTGAGGTGGGAGGATTGCTTTAAGCCCAGAAGTTCAAGGTTGCAGTGAGCTATGATGCTACCACTGCACTCCAGCCTGGGTAACAGTGTGACCCTGTCTCTTAAAAAAAGAAAGAAAGAAAGAAAGAAAGAAAGAAAGAAATCTATGACAGTGGTAATCCAAGAAAATGGTGATGTGTACTTAGGTAGTGGCAATGGAGATAGAAAAGTGGATGGATTTGAGATGGAATACCATAATTTAAGGGGTGGGTAAAGGAGACTCAGATGTGGCCAGAGATCCTGGAGAAAAACCATGAGTATGGTATCATGGAAGCCAAAATAAGAGTATTCCATGAAAAGAGTGACTAACAATGTTAACTACTGCTTCCAGGTCAAGGAAGATCAAGACTGAAAATGTTTACCAGATTTATAATCAAGGTCCTGAGTGACCTTGGCAAAAGCAACCCCAATGGCATGGGAATGAATGGTAGGGCAGAAGTACTGGGATGCAAGTAGACAAAAATTGTTCTGGAAGTACAGAGGTGAGTTATCTAACCTAGTCTTAGAGAAAAGGGAAGGCTTCCTGGAGGAGGCATTACCTAAGTGGAGTACGCAAGGACAAATAGGAGTTGGTCACCTAGAGGCAGAGAAGGAAAATTTAGGCAGAGAATGCTACATGTACAATTGTCCTTTGGGGGCGCTAAAAATAACCTGTGACTTTGGGCAGTTACTTCACCCATTTTCTCATCTATAAAATGGCAGTGGATAATATTGATAGTATTTGTCTCACCGAATTGTTGACAAAGATTGAGATTATGTAGAATACTGGTGCACATTAGGGACTCAGTGATAGTTCACTCCCCCCTCATTAAAGTATCACAATGAAACAATACTTAAAGATTTTTAAAAAATGAATTTAATCTCTCTCTAGAAACAGTGCACTGATTTTACAAATGTCCACATTTGGTTTTCAGTTTACCAAGATGATGTCAGTACAGCTAGTGAGATGCAGCACGCCATCTTCAGCCCCCTTGCCTCCGGAAGAGACACCAGACAGCAAAGGGCACACCGCGTACAGAAGCTAACAGAACTTGAATGACAAGACAAAAAGAGCAGAACCAGTTAGTGCGACACAACATTCTAACATGCCTGATTGTTACATCACATATGGGAACTTAGGGGCTGGTGGGGGAAGACAAACAAGGAAAATCCATTTAGAAACAATCTGATGAAGTTTGCAAACCAGCACTTTACCCCTAAATTAACAACAGCTTGTATGGAAAAAAAATGCTATTTTAAAAGTATATGGTTTGGACAGGTATTTGTTTTCTCTTGTAGTTTTTGTAAAAAAGTATCAAAACCTTGGCTTTAAATATATATATATGTATATATATACAAGTGGCTTTTTAAAAATTACTTTTTATAGCACAAAGTGTTTGTAAATGCAGAGGGTTTCTGCTGATTCTTGACTGTGCACATGGTGCATAGCCTGAATGAACAGAGCTTCCTGATTTTTTTAATAACTGAAAATTTGAAGCAGTAATTCTTTAACCTTCTAAATTCTCCATACCCTAAAAATACAATGTGAGAAGACTGTTACTCTACCTTCATCCATTTCGGGAAAAGGAATTATTTACTCTGAAGCTTTTAATGCCAACTCCTTTATATTCTGTGACACGATGAGTGTATGGCTGGAGTTCGGGGGGTGGGGTAGAGAGGCTTGCATTCCTGTGCCACTCCCCCATTCCCATCAGTGTCTGACTGGACAGTGATTGGTATCCCCTCTCCAGACTTGATGTCTTCAAAATTTTCAGGTTTCTTTCTCACAGTTGAGAAAATCTAAGAGGCTCTCGACAACATGGCATGCTTCTGTGAAAATCCCACTGCCCTATATTAGTTTTCATTGACCATATAAAAAATCGTTGACTCAAATATATGATAAGCACTCAGCATTTCCCTTTGGCCACTGGAAAGCTTGAGGCTGAATATGTCAGGTCTGCAAAGTGCTGGGAATGCATACTAATGAATTTTCCATGATGCATTTTGTGCCTTGTAAACAATGACCAAGAAATGATTAATTCAATCAGAAATTAATGTAACTATAAAGTGCTTACATTGAACCTCATTCCATCTAGCCTCATTTCTTGCTAAGTCTCCCTTGAGCCTTTTGTTCCTGTTATAATGAACTATGTGCAGTTCCTTAACATTCCCATGCTGATTCATGCCTCTGTGTTTTGGCTCAGGGTGTCTCTGCCTGAAGCAGCATGGAATCCCCTTCTTAATTTTTTAAGACTTAGATCACTTCTATGATTACCCTATTCCTCATCTTCCCAGGTAGAAAGACCTCTCTCCCCTTTGTGCCCTAACAGTGCTCTGAATAGAATCTATTCCTTTTGTGTTTCCACATATATCTTCCTCCACTGCTACTGTGACCTCTGTAAAGTCAAAACATGTTTGACTGACCTTTACATCTGCAGTGCCAGGTGTGTAGTTGGTACCTAGTGAGTGATTTTAGTGAGTGAATATACTGGAGGAGTCAATAGGACTTACTGCCATACGCTTAAATCTGCTCTCATTCTCTTTTTGCCAGTTAACAGGTTACTTCTATCTGTTTTATAAATAATTGTGCTGTGAAGAGTAAATACAATTTTCATTTTCTCTGTTTCTGGAAAGCATCTCAACCAGTGCCTTTGTAATTCCACTGGAAAGGTAGACCATAGTATAGGTAGCAGGTTTGATACAATGTTCAGGCAGCCAAAAATAGTCTTCCTGCAGAAGGAAATGGGGGAAAAGCACTGGGACTGGCTTCTGGTAAATTTTCTGCCCTCTTGGCATTATCTCTGAGCTTCCTTCCAGCTCTATAGTCCAGTGACTCTGTGATCTGTGATTGGCTGTAGATACCTATGCATGGGTGCAAAAGGCAAAATATATATAACTTACACCTCAAAATGAGGCTGAAAGGCCTCTATGAATAGGGGGAAGGTGGATCTGACTCCTCAGGTTTCATCTTATTTACTGCCACCTAACACATCAGTATTTTACAATTTGTTTCTTGTAAAGGGTTGCTCCCATAGCTGCCTCCTTCAAACTGCAGCTGTAGCACATGCTGGAAACATGGGTGTCTCTGAGAAAGTTGTGAATTTCATCATCGTTTTGAGATCTCAGGCTGTTTGTCCAGACCCCATTCATTATGTTTTTCTGTGAATGCCAGGATCTGACTGAAAGTTTAGAAACTATGCCTTAGCCACTGTTATCATTTAATTCCTTAAAAATGCAGTTTCTTTGGAAGAAGGTTACAGAAAAAGTTACTTGTTTTGAGTAAATTTCCATGTTTTTCACTGTCATTTTTCTTCCGTCAAAAATAATATTACTTTTTGTTCTTAAAAGAATAGTAATATGTGATAAAGCCCCATAGGAGTTGGCCACCTGTTCTTAAAATTCTGTTTGGTATTGGTCATTCTACGTCGACCGCATCTACCCTGTCAGTGAATGTTTCAGGACTATCAACACATGCATGTCATGAGGAGATTGCTGGCTTATGCAAAACACAGTGCCCAAGCTCCAGAATGTAGTTGTTTTCTTAGAGTTTAGGAGACCAAGAGGGACGCAGAGGAAGGCCCTAGGAACAGGATGCTAGAACTCTAGAATGTCTGAATGGAAATTCAAAGGATATCAAACTGGTGAGACATCCAACCTTCATTGAGCTGGGGGCATCTGGTGGGTGGGGATAGGAAGGCATTTGCTTAAGTGTGTCAAGTTTCACGTATGATAAGGTTAGATGCATGTCCCTGCTTCTACTTAAGTCAGACACTTCCGTGTTGCACCTTTTCCCTGGTTGTCTAGTGGGAGTAAGTGGTAGAAGAGCAGAGTTAAGAAACTCAAACTCTTTCTCTTTGGATGGGAAAGCCAGTGGGGACTGAATCCTTCTAGGACTACAGGATTATGTTTCCAATGGCAGACCCCACACAAATAGAAAAGAGCACTTCTCCCTTCCTCCCCCAAGGCCAGGAAAAGCAAAGAAGGTATCTATAACGAAGAACATCTATACATATACCCAGAGTTTTTCCTTTTATTTACAAAGCAGTAAACCAAATTCCTGTGTGAACATAAATACCCAATATACTATAATATTGCATATGCCATTTCCCCCCTCAAATAGGACTTCAGGTTTGGCCAATTGTTCTGACTTAAGCCAAAAATTGGTTTAACCTAGATGAACATATGATGGTAAGTAACCTATTTATTACTTTAAAATGTTTCCCCACCTAAAGGAAATGGTAGAGGGTAAGGGGAAAAGAGAAGTAAGAGATGTAATAAAACCTATTCCACCATCTTTATCCTCATCCACAGCATGTCCCAGACCTTCAGTGCCTGGGCCAGTCTCTACGGTAAACTTGGGCTGTTCTGGAAATGTCTCCACTTAGCTCTGTAAGGATGGCACCCTGCAGGGTGCTTCAGAGGAAACTTACTGAATTCAACCCAAGTGTCCTGAAAGAAATTGAAGAAGTTACTCAAAGAGCTGAACTTTAAAACAAGGAGTAGCTGAGGGTGAGGCATATTCTGTCTTGAGTTTCTGAGTGCTCTGGTACCATGCAATGTCTGTAGGCTGACCTTTGCTAAAGACAAGAAAGCCCAGGTAGGAGTCAGGGCAGCCATGGGTGAGCTGAAAGGCTGTTCCTGACTTACTAGGGTCTCAGGAATAGCCAGAGGTGAAAAGATTTGCCTTATTCACTACCTATTTGCACAAACCATGGTATCTATTTTCTGAGCCAGATTTCCAAAGGCTTTTCTGAAAACTACAAGATATACCCCTTGTGGACTGTGTTAAAGTAAATTTATCTTTATGTATTTGAACAGTAGCCATAGGTGTGCCTCTTCTCTACAGATTTTTCCCTGTCTCACACATACACATATAAACACACACATATACACACACAGAGTCTGTGTGGTGGACCAGTCATACCAAAAATAAATACTCTCACTTCTCTAAATTATAGAACTCATCTGATTTTTGAAATATGTTAATAAATAATCTAAATGGGGGAGGGAGTTGATGTGTTTTTTTTTTACTTATGTTGATGGATAGCCACAAAGCATAATCATCTTATTTACAAAAAACAAATCCCCCCAAACCTAAACCCCCCCCAACTAAACATCTTCTGTAAAGATAGTTTTTAAATGATGAGTAAGGTACTGTGCCATTGGCCCCCATTTGGTTATGTGCATCATGTTAGTCACTCAGCAGTAGCCATTCCACGAATTCCTCATGGGTAGTGCAACCAGTTAAAAAGTGTATAAAACATTATACATAGAAAAACTCTCACATCCTTTGGATGTTTGCAGTTCATCATAACTTTGTGGTTACCTTTCCGCAACATAAATTTTAAAAAAATCACACACACACACACACACACACACACACACACTCACACAGACCCATAAACAGAAACCCATTCATCCAGTCATACACCATCCAGAGTGTAATGCGTGGGACTGAATTCCATGAGGCACGAAGGGGGCAATCCCATCCTCAGGGTAGTCCATCATCTTCAAGGCTTAACGCCACTCGCTGGGGAGACAAACCAAAGAATTCATCATTAGATGCATAAGAGTTACTATTTATTGAGTATTGACAAAGTACAGACTTACGTTACTTTAACAGGTATTAGCTCACATAATCTTCAAACTATCCCAAGAGACAAGATTTATCACATTTATTTTACAGATGAGAAAACAAACTCAATGAGCTTAAGTACGGTTTGTTCTGGATCACATAGCAAGTGGCTGAACTAAAATTTGGCCCCCGGTCTGTATGAATCCAAAGCTGTAGATTTTTTTCGTCATTTTGTTTTGTATCTTTGTAAAGAAGAGTCACACGGATCTAAATTTTCTCAATCCTCCCTTATAGGATTTTAGGTTTGGTCAATTTCAGTGGGTTAGCTTTGGCAAATGTTAAATTTCAGGCTATGAGTTACTTGTCTCTAGCATGCTAATCACATTTAGGAAGGTAATATACTTCACCTTCCCAACAGATTAAACAGGATTGGAAGGCAATGCAGGTTAAATAAATTCCACCCCTCTCTCCCTCATCCCTACTTTCCAGTCATTGGGTAGATGCTAGACTCCTGTCTGCCAAAAATGGCTGACTGTGAGATGGTGAGCCCACTAATCCCTGAGCCAGTCTATTCCATTCCTATGCTAATGTGAAATTTGTTTCTTTATATCTTCTGACATTCCCTGATTCCATCTCTCAGACTCAGAGACAGTTCTACGTAGGACAATCCTTGACATTTATAGATGGTGTTTGAATTCCCTTCCCTT